CCCTCTTGGGCCATCTTGGGCGCCTCTTGGGCCGTCTTGGGGCCCTCTTGGGCTGTCCTGGGGCCCTCTTGGAAGCTTCTTGGGCCGTCTTGGGGCGGTCTTGGGCGCCTCTTGGGCCGTCCTGTAACGTCGGAAAACCCAAAAGACAACTTTGTTGAAAATGTACGTTTTACGAAGGGAATGGGCCAATTTTTGCGTCTAGGGGCCCTCTTGGGACGCATGTTGGAGGCTTCTTGGGGCCTCTTGGGGGCGTCCTTGGACGTCTGGGGTCTCCTGGGGCCTCTTGAGGGGCCTCCTGGGGGCCTCCTGGCGGCCTCTTGGGGCGGAAGGCTCGAGCTTGCGGTTCGTGGTCCCCCTCTGGGCCCCCTCTTGGGCCCGTCTTGGGGCCCTCTTGGGCCATCTTGGGCGCCTCTTGGGCCGTCTTGGGGCCCTCTTGGGCTGTCCTGGGGCCCTCTGGGAAACTTCTTGGGCCGTCTTGGGGCGGTCTTGGGCGCCTCTTGGGCCGTCCTGTAACGTCGGAAAGCCCAAAAGGCGACTTTGTTAAAAATGTACGTTTTACGAAGGGAATGGGCCAATTCTTGCGTCTAGGGGCCCTCTTGGGACGCATGTTGGAGGCTTCTTGGAGCCTCTTGGGGGCGTCCTTGGACGTCTGGGGTCTCCTGGGGCCTCTTGAGGGGCCTCCTGGGGGCCTCCTGGCGGCCTCTTGGGGCGGAAGGCTCGAGCTTGCGGTTCGTGGTCCCCCTCTGGGCCCCCTCTTGGGCCCGTCTTGGGGCCCTCTTGGGCCATCTTGGGCGCCTCTTGGGCCGTCTTGGGGCCCTCTTGGGCTGTCCTGGGGCCCTCTTGGAAGCTTCTTGGGCCGTCTTGGGGCGGTCTTGGGCGCCTCTTGGGCCGTCCTGTAACGTCGGAAAGCCCAAAAGACAACTTTGTTGAAAATGTACGTTTTACGAAGGGAATGGGCCAATTTTTGCGTCTAGGGGCCCTCTTGGGACGCATGTTGGAGGCTTCTTGGGGCCTCTTGGGGGCGTCCTTGGACGTCTGGAGGCCATCTTCAGCATCTCGGAGCCCTCTTGGAGGCCTCTTGGAAGTTTCTTGGGCCGTCTTGGGCGCTTCTTGGGCCGTCTTGTCTGACTGGGGAGGCCTCCGGCAAGCCCCGACGAGCCTCCGGGCCCCCCGGGGCGCACATTTGTGGTCGAGGTCCCGGCCCCGGGCCCCCGGACCCGGTGCGCCGTTATATGTATATATACCCATACATACCCACATATATATATATATATATATATATATTATATATATATATATATATATATATCAAAAACACAGGAAAATCAAAAGTTTTCAGGCCTCGCATTCCTGGCGGGCCTTGTGTTTTCAAATGGTAGTTCGTCAAATGGTACCAAAACCTGTGGAGGAAAAAAAGAAGAAGAAAAAAATGAGAAAACAAAAACAAAACAAAAAACGAGTTCTCTTTGACTTCGAGCCACGAAACCTTTGAGACATCCACCAAACAATGTGTTTGTGCTTTCCTTCATATATAATGTCTATAAAGCCTTTTTGTGTGTATATATATGTGTATATATATAATATATATAGAGAAACACCCAAAAAAAAAAACATTTCCAAAAACAATCAAGTCAAAGGTTTTCGGGCCTCGCATTCTTGGCGGGCCTTGTATTTTCAAAGGGTAATTCATCAGATGGTGGCAAAACCTGTGTTTTGTTGTGTATATATATATATAGATATAAAACTTCCCTTCACTTAAAGCCACGAAACCTGTGATGCATCCAAAACCCAACAACAACAAAACAAAACAAAAAAACGTTTTTTTGATTGAAAAAAAAATATTGTATAAGTAAATGAACAAATACATATATATATATAACATAATACATATATATATATATATATATATATATATATGTAACACAAAAAATGTGACATATCCCCCAAAAAAACTTACAAATTTTCGGATCCCCGCCCATCCCGACTCCAGACCCCAGGAGGGCCCGCCAGGAGTGTGAGGCCAGAAAACCTTAATTAATTTTGATTGTTTTATGTCTCGCAAGTTTTTTTGTCCATATGTTCTGTTGTTTTTTGGGATGTCTCACAAGTTCCCTCCCTAGGCTCTGCCTAAAAGGGTTCTTGCTCTCTGGGCTTACAGGGGCCAGGCACTGGAAAGCGCCCTGGGCGGTTCCCCGAGTATCCGCCCCGCGGTTCCCCCAGTTGCGCCCCCTGGGTTCACCCAGCTTAGCTTAGCTAAGCTTAGCTGAGCTGAGCTTAGCTTGGCTTAGCATATCTCATCTTAGCTTAGCTTAGTTTTGCCTAGCCCAGCTTAGCTTAGATTCGCTTAAAATAGCTTAGCTTAGCTTATATCATCGTAGCTTAAGCTTAGCTTAGCTTAGCCTAGCCCAGCTTAGTTTAGCTTAGTTTAGCTTAGCTTAGCTTAGCATAGCCTAGCTTAGTTTACCTAGCGCTGTGCAGCATAGCGCAGCGCAGCATTAGCACAGCATAGCATGGCATAGCATAGCCAAGCGTACCATAGCATAGCACAGATCAGCATAGCATAGCATATCATAGCATAGCACAGCACAGCATAGCATGGCATAGCGCAGCATAACATAGCATATCATAGCATAGGACTGCGTAGCATAGCACTGCGCAGCATAGCACAGCATAGCATATCATATCATAGCGCAGCATAGCATAGCATATCATACCATAGCGCAGCATAGCATATCATGTCATAGCCTAGCATAGCATAGCATAGCGCGGCAAAGCATAGCATTTCATAGCATAGCGCAGCACAGCATAGCATAGCATAGCGCAGCATAACATAGCATATCATAGCATAGCATAGGTCTAGCATAACACAGCGCACCCGAGCGTACCCTAGCATAGCATAGCGCAGCATAGCGCGGCATAGCGCAGCATAGCAAAGCATAGAGTCGCATAGCATAGCGCAGAATAGACGGCATGTAGACGCAAGTGTATTTGTGAATGTAGCTGTCGGTGTAGATGTAGATGTTGCTTTCCTAAATGCTCCAACTCCTAGGTAGGGTCGCACTGGGATAATTTCGTTGCTCTAAGTAAAAGAAAACCTACGCTTTTAAAGGTGTGGACTACGGCAGCGCAGCGTGCGCGGCTTCGGGGGAATCCCACGCGGTCGCCACTGCAGGGCAGGCGTCCTCCCTGCAGCACACCGGCACCCTGTCGGTCGTTAGAGGCGGCATGATCCGGGCATGACCTGACTGCCGCGCTTCAGACTGTGGCTCTCTTACCCTGTGTACGTGGCACCTTGGACAACCACGGCCTGAGCCTCTCCTGCATCCTATTCGGTGGCACAACGTTGCACTCTGGCCCAGCGGTGCTCCTCACCCTCCCGGGCGTCGCCCTGGATACGTGGTGCGTCCTCTCCCGCGGCCACTTGGGGCTGGTGTACATGACGCGCCGCTGACGGCACCACCACCACAGCATTTTGCTTCTCCCGGTACTTTGCCACCGGGTTCCTGTACAAGGCGTTCCTTTGCAAACACATCGTCTTCGGCACCGCCTGGTTCCGGGGTTTTGCCCTCTCTTGGCCTTGACGTGAGGCCCCTCCTTCTGATTTCCTCGCCTCCGTTAATTAAAGCTGTGCGCGGTCCGCTTAGCTTCGACTGGAAAAGGTGCGCTCTCGACCCGCGGATAAAAAAAAATGTCGTTACAGGTTTTGGCACCATCCAATGAATTACCTATATGTTGATGTAGATGTTGATCCGATGTTGTTTCAAGAACGTTCGCAATCGATGGCATCATAATCAAACGCAACAACAAAGCCGTACACTTAAAAACAATAAGACAGGGGCCCCGTGGAGGGAAGAATGACGAAAGGGAAGGAGGGGGATAGAGAGAGAGAGAGAAAGAGAGAGAGAGAGAAAGAAAGAGATGGAGAGAAAGAGAGAGAGAGAGACGAGAGGAAAGACAGAGAAGTTACAATGATTATTCGTTTACTTTTAAATTATATATTTGTTTTCCAAGGGGAGTCACAGGTTTCATCAATATGGGACCATAAAACCTGTAAAAACACAAGTTCTCCTGTACTTAGAGCCAAGAAGAAATCTGTGACACATCCAAACAACCAAAAAAGAAAGATAATATAACAAACCTTGTGACAGATCAACAACAACCTAAACATCAACGGTTTTCGGGTCTCGCACTCCTGGCGGGCCTTGTGTTTTCAGAAGTTAATTCGTCAGATAGTGCCGACACCTATAAAAACACATGTTTTCCCTTACTGAGAGCCACGAAACCTGTGAGACATCCCCAAAATAGTATAAAATAATTAAAAACATGTCAAAAAAACCTTGTGACATATCCCAAAACCAACGAACTCTTTCGTTTCAAGCCCTCGGGCTTGTATTTGTAAAGATGGGGTCCCCCGGGGAGGCTGTCATGTATATATACATACATACATAAATACATACATACATATATATATATATATATATATATATATACATACATATATATATATATATGTATATACAAACATATGTATATATGCATACATGTACAAACACATATACATAAACATACACACACACATATACATGCACATATGCATATACATATGCATACACGTAGACATATACATATACATATACAACATATGCATACGCACATATGTATACATATACATGTACCAGTTCACCTGCGTAAACACATACATATACCTACACAAATACGTATGCATACACATATACGTAAACATCCCCACATACATATACATATACACGTGTGTGTCTAGAGAGAGAGAAGGGACGTCCCCCCACGACAGAGTATGAGGGGAAAGAGAAGAGGGTAGCACTCTTACAGTGCAACTGTAGAAGGGGGGAAAGAGAAGGAAGATGAGTTGAACTGAAGATGGCTGAACTGGGGAAGAGGGAGAGGAGGAGGAGGAGGAGGAGGAGGAGGAGGAAGAGGAGGGAGGGGCTGGACCGGGGCGGGTGCAGCGGGGGGCTCGGCACCTGAGCCCGGAAGCAGCTGCGTATGCACTGCACGCGCTGGAGCAGGCCGTCGGCCTTCTCGACCTCGCCCAAGCAGGAGGTGGGAGAAGAAAGAAAGGGGGGGGGGACCGCGACGGCGCAAGGAGAAGCACCACCCCGACGCCCGCCGAGGAGGGAGGTGGGAGGCGGGAGGAGAGGAGGGAGGGAGGGAGGGAGGACTAGGAAGGAGGAGGAGGGCTTCTGCTTGCTCTCTTGAACTTCAGGGCGCCAAGAGCCCCAGGGGGTCTTTGAGGGAGGACGGCGAGGAGCTGGGGGGCGAGGAAGGTGGGGGGAGATGGTCAGGCCCAGCGGGACGTGGTCACGGCGCCCTCTGGTCTTGATTTGTTGTAGACGTTTTCCTGCCCCGTGCAGTGGCGCGCAGCGCTCCACATTTCCCCAAAGCCCCGCGGGTAATGCAGTGTGGTATACCCTGCCTGTGTGCCCAGTGCCCATATTATGCAGGACCAATATTGTAGCGTGCGGTAACTATGCTCAAGTCACTTCCTGCACACATCGTCCGAAAGCTCTGTCCTTTGTAGTTCTCAAGCTCGGGCACCTCTGGGCCTTCCGGCCCCTGCTACGTACCACTCCACCGTCGAGGTCCCTTTGGCAACCAGAAGTCGCTATTTACGTCACCCCCCATTATGATCGCCACACGGCATCCCAATCTGTCGATCCGCTCCTCTAGCCAGTGGCTCGTGGAGTCCGCCAGCTTAGACAAGAAATAGGGCGCAGTCGAACTGTGCTGTAGTGAGCATCACTCCAGCGACTCTCCCCTGCAAGGCTGTCGGTGGGTGGTAAATGTCCCTCCCAGCGTAAGGTCCGAAACCTTTGCTGCCACAGATGGCTATTCCACAACTGCTGTTGGTCCACTTCCCTTGCTTGGTTCCGAACTGAACAACATCCTGATGTGACAGGATGTTGCGTTGCGAGGCTTCTGTAAAGGCCCATCTGCACATTCTGTTGAGCAATATTACGCCCAAACTCCGTACTTCGCAACTAATGTCCTCTAGTCGTTCCAGGCTGGCCGCTTCCATTGGGTTGTAGTAGCAAGTACGCATGGTGATGCAAAGAAGGGCGAGAGCCATGGAAGCCCCCCAAGCCCGAGCGTTCCGCGGGCCTACGGGTGGGGGGGCGAAGTCGCTGGTGCACTTTTGCACGCGAGGTTCGGTCGCTCAGAATCCAAACCTCGACCCAGCGGCCTAGGAGGAGGAGGAGGAGGAGGAGGAGGAGGAGGGGGGAGGAGGAAGAGGAGGAGGAGGAGGAGGAGGAAGGGGGAGGAGGGGGTGGAGGGGGGGGCAGGGGAGGAGGGGGGGGAGGGGGGGGGCGGGCACGAGCCCATCACACGCACCTTGATCGTGGACAGCCTGGCACTCCCCCGCACAGGGCTGCCGAGCCGTCGGGCGGCCCGCAGGAGGCCCAGCGGGGGGGGGGGGGGGCTCGCCGAGCTGCAGCTGCCGGGAGGCTCGAGGGCAACCTCCCCTGGAGAAGGAGGAGGAGGAGGAGGAGGAGGAGGAGGAGTAACCGATCAAAGTTCGCGCCAGGCCCCTGGCAGGCGCTGGGGGTGCCAAAGTCAAGAGCAAGAGCAGCAGAAGCAACATACTCCTCCTCCTCCTCCTCCTCCTTCTCCTCCTTCTCCTCCTCCTCCTAATCATCACCATCATCATCATCATCATCATCATCATCATCATCATCACCACCACCACCACCACCACCACCATCATCATCATCATCATCATCATCATCATCATCATCATCAGCATCAGCATCAGCATCAGCATCAGCATCATCATCATCAGCATCATCTTCAGCAGCATCATCATCATCATCGTCGTCATCGTCATCATCATCGTCATCATCAGCATCGCCATCATTACCAACATCGTCAAACAAACATCAACAACCACAGTATCATCATCAGCATCAGCATCGTCATCATCATCAGCATCATCATCATCAACATCGTCAGCAGCCTCATCATCATAATCATCCTCATGCTCATCATCAGTACAATGACTATCATTATCAGCATCATCGCCACGATCAGCATCTTCATCATCACCAGCATCACCTGCAGCAACACCATAAGCATCGTCATCATCATCATCATCATCATCACCACTGTCACCATATCATCATTACTACCGTCAGCCTCATCATCATTCTCGTCACTATCAGACACATCAGCGTCATTATCAGGAATCATCAGCCTCACCATCATCATCATCGCCAGCATCATCATCGTCATCGTCGTCGTCGCCTTTATCATCATCATCATCAGCATCAGCATCGTCATCATCGACATCATCATCATCATCATCATCATCATCATCATCATCATCCCCATCACAATCACCACCACCGCCATCATCATAGTCATCATCATCATCATCATCGTCATCACCATCATCAGCATAAGCATCTTCTTCATGCTCATGTTCATCATCATCAGCAGTATCAGCAGAAGCATCACCGTCATCATCATACTGATCTTCATCCTCATCGACATCATCAGTACCATGATCATCTTCATTATCGTTTTCATCTTCATCTTCATCATCATCAGCATCATCAGCGGCAGCATCATCATCCTCAGCATCAGCATCGTTATCACCGTCCCCATCACCATCACAATCACCATCACCGTCGTCATCAGCATCAGCATAAGCATCATCGTCATCGTCACCACCACCACCATCATCATATCATCATCACTACTGTCAGCATCATCCTCCACCTCCTCCTCACCATCATCGTAATCATTACCAACAACGTCAAACAAACATCAACAACCACCGCATCATCATCAGCATCAGAATCGTCATCATCACCAGCATCATCATCATCATCATCATCATCATCAACATCGTCAGCATCACCATCATCATCATACTCATCCTCATGCTCATCATCAGTATCATGATTAACATTATCACCATCATCACCACGATCATCATCTTCATCATCACCAGCATCACCTGCAGCAACACCATAAGCATCGTCATCATCATCATCATCACCACCACTGTCACCATATCATCATTACTACCGTCAGCCTCATCATCATTCTCATCACTATCAGACACACCAGCGTCATTATCAGGAATCAGCAGCCTCACCAGCATCATCATCATCGTCGTCATCGCCGTCGTCGTCTTTATCATCATCATCAGCAACAGCATCGTCTTCATCGACATCATCCTCATTATCATCATCCCCATCACCATCACCACCACCGCCATCATCATAGTCATCATCATCATCGTCATCACCATCATCAGCATAAGCATCTTCATCATGCCCATGTTCATCAGCACTAGCAGCATCATCGTAAGCATCATGGTCATCGTCATATTCATCTTCATCCTCATCGCCATCATCAGTACCATTATCACCTTCCTTATCATCAGCTTCATCTTCATCATCATCAGCATCATCAGCGGCAGCATCATCCTCCTCCTCATCATCATCATCATCTTCATCGTTATCACCATCCCCATCACCATCACCATCACCGTCGTCATCAGCATCATCATGAGCATCAGCGTAAGCATCATCGTCATCGTCACCACCACCACCATCATCATATCATCATCAATACTGTCAGCATCATCCTTCACCTCCTCATCACCATCATCATCCATCATCCTAATCACTATCAGACACGTCAGCGTCATGATTAGGAATCATCAGTATCACCATCATCGTCATCATCATCGTCGTCGTCATTATCACATTTATCATCATCATCAGCATCATCACCGTCTTCAATCAGCATCATCGTGATCACCATCACAATCACCATACATCACCATCATCATAATCATCATCAGCACCATCGTCATCATCAGCATAAGCATCCTTCATCATGCTCATGTTTATCATCAGCAGTATCATGATACGCATCATCGTCGTCATCATGAGCATCACCATCACCACCACCATCATAAGCAACATCAGCATCTTCAACATCATCATTAGCAGCAGCATAATTATCATCATCAGCATCATCACCACCAGCCGCAGCATCACACGCATCATCATCATCATCATCATCATCATCATCATCATCATCATCATCATCATCATCATCATCATCCTCGTCATCATCACCAAGATCATCATCATCCTCAGCATCAGCACCATCATCATGATAATCATCAGCATCATTATGACAAACAACATAATCATCATGCCAATCATCATCAGCAGCAACATTATCATCGTCATCATCAGCATCATCAACATCCTAATCATCATAATGATCATCATCACCATCCCTCAACATCATCAGTATCATCATCAGAATCATCATCATCAGCAGCAGCATCAGCAGCATCATCCGCATCAGCACCATCAGCATCATCATCGTCATCATCATCCGTGACCGTTTCGGCTCAAGCCATTTTGGTTCAAGGCTGACGCCCAGTAGGGCAATCCGCGTTTTCTAAGAGTCTTTGGCCACAAGACCGTTTTGATTGCGGTTCCCCGCGCATGGGGAAGTCCAAGGCGAAGAGCAATACATGGACGTGCCAGGCATTTCGACTCTGAACTGGTTGTCGGTACACGCATGCCGCGGCTGTGGCCAGCCATTGTGGTCACGATCGGGACGACGAGACAAAAGCGCACCCGCCCTCGCACAGGACATGATCTGAGCCCTCTATCTATGCCAGCGGCAGCCGTCACGCCGATGCCGGGGTCAACGGTGGCGGAGCCTCATCACGTTGCTCATCGGCCTCGTCCCTCTCGCTGTTAAGCAGGCCGGGCTCGTCGTCCCTGGCTCGCGAGAGCCAGCCAGCGCGCGCGACGGCGCCGATGGTCAGCGAGGCCCTCTTCGCCCCGTCGGACGCGGGCTCGGAGGCCGAGGACGCGTCAGAGACAATACCTGGGGCCATCACCTGGGCCGAGGTCGCCGAGGTCCAGAAGGCCAAGGAGGCGCTGGATGTCGGCAGCCCGCTGTACCAGGCCTGCGAGGAGCAGGAGGCAGTGCTCGAGCAGAGATTGCACGAGTCCACGCCGCTCCAGGAGCAGATCACGGCCCTGGA